TTCTTTTTTATTACGAAGGTGTGTTTTAGAACCTATATGAGAAGTAATTGTATTTTTTGTTTGAAAATTAATACTATGATCACAAAAACGACACATAAGTTTTCCATTATCCGCGAAAAAATCTTCAGAAAATTCTCGCGCACGCGATGAAACAGTAACCGTAATAGAAGGTGGCATTTTGATCAAAAATTTTAAGGGGTAAAAAAATTAACATTTATTATTACGGAAAATTGAAGGAAAAAAAAGAATGGAAATCATGCAAAAATTTAAATGTTCTTCCATAATCTTTGTAACAATTATTGGATACATAATCCTTCTACTCGAAAGATTTTAAATTAATTTCTTCCGCTGATCCATGATTTTTATTGGTTAATTGTCACGTGTCATAAAAAATTTATCAAAAATTCAAAAAATTCCATTTTACTCCATTATACAGCAAAAATTCCGATTTATTCATTTATTATAAAAATGGAATTTTTCCGGGTCTCTGCCAGCATGATTGTGCAAAATTTTCTTAAGCTGCACCCCCATCATTATAATAATTCTGTATCACGTGGATGGAAATTTTTGTTATGTTGGTTTAGCCAATCAGAATTCTTAATATGTTCGTCAGAATTATTAACCAATAAAATCGACCCTGTCGCTCTTGGATAATAAATAATTCAGGACGCGTCAACTGTCAACCGCGTAAATATTTTTTTCTTTTGAAAAATCATGGCCAATTTTTTTATATTAAATGAGGAAATTATAAAGATGCAAGATACTGGTTATACCTTTCCGAATGAAGTTTCAATAAACGACTTAGAGGAGAGAGAAATTGATAAGTTGTTAAATGGTAAAAAATTTTTTTTACTACGAAACCGTTAAAAACGCTACTTAAAGTATACGATTAAAGATTTATATATAATTTTCAGATGCTATTGACATAATAAGCGAAAATCCTTTTGCAATAACTAATGAAGAATTATTTGATACTATGCGTAGTTTCGTAAAGTAATTTCTTTTCATTATCACCTAAATCTTTTGGATTTTTAATGATGTATATTATATTAAAATCTTATTTTCTTGTAGAAATTTTAATACATTAAAATCCGGTATATTAAATCGTGTACTCGATATAATCATATCAGGTTTGAATTGATTTTTTTTCTGACACATTTTATCAAACTTTACTTAAGAACGTTGTTTATTATGTATTGTAGGTTTACAAAGCGAATATACAAACACGTCAAATGATTTAGATGACGATGATGAAGAAACTTATAGTGATCATCGAATTGCCTTGGAAATGTATGGATTTTTGTTGTTCTGGTTTATTACTAATGCAGAGCGTAAAGCAACATCTAAAAGTAGTGTAAATGGAGAAACAATTACATCAGGTGGAAAAGCAAAGACAAAGGTATAATAATAGTTTTTATCTGCTATTACGTAAATTGATTCTTATTTACTCTTATTTAAATAATTTATAAGAGAACAAGACAGACTAGATCTAAAGTTTCTTCAAATAATAATGAAGATTGGGATTGGTCTAAACAAAAGCAAGAAGCCTTAGATTTAATGATAAAAGTTTTGGAACCTAGAATTAAAAAAATTTGGACTTCAACTCATGAAATAGAAATCTTTGTTAGGTACATATTATTTTTTACTCAAAACTTTATTTGGATAAATGTCTGATCATTTTAGATAACTTTTTTTTTTTGCAGTTTATTTACAAAATCTGCATATCGAATGTTGGAAAATATTACGACGATTAAAACTTCTTCCATAAAATCACGCGTCTATACTATCCTTTCAATATGTGTCAAAGAATATAATCACGCATTTGGTATAAATAAATTTCAACCAAAATGAGAAAATGGTGTAATTGATTTTGATTCATTTTTTATTTTATAAATTTTCGTTTTTAAAATTTAATAGGTGCACAAACTACTATAATTCAGAATTTACAATATTATGAGCATCTATCCGAACCTATGGCAGAATTTCTTCAAGTCCTTGTTCAGCAACATGATCATACACAATTAGCGGAAAATACATTAGTGTAGGTAAATTATAGACGTATTTTAATAAATCTAATTCGTGCTAACTTGTCAAAATTTTTAGAGAAATAAGCGATAAGGAATTTAATAGTCAAGATACTACTGGTCCAAAATCATTTTCGAAATTTCTTATTAAACTATCTGTATTAGCTCCAAAAGTAGTGGTCAAGCAAATTGTACTTCTGAGTAAACATCTAACAAGTGAAGTAAGTAATCAAAAATAAAATTGTCACAATTTTTATTTTAAAATCCATATTTATGAAAATTTACCTTTTTTCTACTATATCTTTTTAGTCTTATACTATGCGTTGTGGATTAATTGAAGTAATGGGGAACCTTATCATTGATTTGGCGCAACAGGAAGGGAATGCACCAAATAACGCGCATCAAGTTAATGGATTCTTCGATGCTATTGAAGAACGCTTTCTTGATCTTAGTTCTTATTGTCGTTTAAGAGTATTACAAGTATATTACAAGCTTTGTGAGTAAGTATTTATCCATGGTGTATGATATTATTTATATTTAAGAATAAAACATTGTTAATTTTTAAATTTAGATTAAAAGTCAAATTTCCAAAACGACGGCAAAAGGTTGTGGACCTGGTTATTCGTTGTTTAGAAGATAAGGCTAGTATAGTCCGTAAAAATGCAATTAAGTTATTGACCAAATTGATTTCAACACATCCATATGGCATTATGCATGGAGGTGAGTTATCTGTTAAAGAATGGGAAGAACGCCTAAGAAAAGTTGAAGAAGAATTGAAGGTAATAATTATTCGAGATTTTAACCCTCAATTCTTAATTATATTAATCATTATATTTAACGTTAAAGGCAATTCAACCTCCTAAAGAACTTGCAGAAATTGGTGCTGAAGCTCTTACAGAAAACGAAGATACAGATAGTGAAGTTGAAACTTTTGATGAAGATATCGAAATGGCAGAAGCGGCAGTGGCTCCTCATTTATCATCGTCCGATGAGCTTATGAAATTGCAAATGACAAGACGTTATTATGCAGATGCTGTTCGATTCATACACCAAATTTATACGGCAATACCAACACTTTGCCAACTTCTTGGTTCTACCACTAAAACAGAAGTGATTGAGGCTATCGAATTCTTTGAAACGGCACAATTGTACAAAATTGAAGAGGCCAATGAAGGGATTAAAAAGATGTTACATTTAATTTGGACAAAGGATAATAATGATGAGGGTAAAGGTATTAGAAAACGCCTGATCGAAAGTTATCGAAAATTATATATTGAGCAAGACCAGTCGCTATCAGAAAAAGAGAATGTGAATATAGTTACCAGAAATTTGATAAGGTAAAATACATTTAAGAAATATATACAATTATGTCTTATATATACATAATTAAATATTTACGTTATTGTGAATATAGTTTAACAGATAATGCTACACTCGCCGAATTGACATCCCTTGAACAACTTTTAAGTACGATTATGAAAGAAGATGATGTTATAAGTTATAATGTTATTAATAAATTATGGTTAATTTATTGTAAGTTTTGAGATGACTAATTTGAATTATCAATCATTAATCAATTAATTACTGACTTTATAATATATTTTTAGCTGCGTCCACAAAAGATATTTCTAAAGAACAAAGATGTGGTGCAATCATCGTACTAAGTATGCTTGCCAAAGCTAAGACGGAGATTGTACAGGAAAAGATTGATTTACTTCTCAAGGTTGGACTAGGACAATTTGGTAAAGTACGTACTCGGTATGTGCTATATAAAACATCCTATATTGTATATCTATTCTTACTTTTTTTTTACGAATTTTATTTTGTAGGCAGACTTGGTTTTAGCAAAATATACTTGTATTGCCTTACAGCGCCTTGCTGGTGATCAAATCAAAGTTAAAGGTAAATAGAATAATAGCAAATTCACGTACCATTTAAAACAAGTTCTTAATTCAAGTTCTTAATCTTTGTTTTGAAATAGGGTCCTTGGCCAATAATTCAAATCGGCTATCATTATCTCATCAGATTTTTCATAAACTAAAGCAAATTATCGAATTACAGACTACCTCAACAGAATGGTATTTATTTATTAAATTATGAGACATAATAATCCCTTCACTAAATGCATTGCATTGTATAAATTTTATAGGTTTGGAGTAGCTGAGCAGGCAATAAATACAATATATTTACTTAGTGAACATCCGGATGTTTTATGTGGTGATATTATTAAACGAAAAGCTTCTTTAGTTTATGATCTTAAAATTCTTGGTGCTGACAGTGAAATGGAAATTGATGAAGGAGAAAACATTCTCACAAATCAAGAATCATTCTTGACACATCCACTCCATTTAAGTCAACTATTATTTATAGTTGGACATGTGGCTATTAAACAGATTGTTCATTTAGAAGTAATTGAGACAGAGTGGAAAAGGAGAAAAGGTATAAACAAATTAAGTGGAAATTTTTCTTCTTTTTTTTTTAATAAAAAAAAAACTTTGTTAATTGACTAACATTAATTTTTGTTTCGCACATGGACCGTAAGAAAAAACAACCAAGAATACTGGCGATGATGAATTAGAACAAGTAGTGGGATCTAACGAAGACGAGTTTGTAGAAGCAATAGCGGAAATTCGTGAAAAAGAACTATTATTCAGTCCATATTCGTTGTTAAAAGTGTTCGGTCCTTTAATTGTAAATATATGTGCAAATAATAAAACTTATAATGTAAGTTCTTTAAAAATTTTTTATTTATTTTTATTTTATTTTTACTAACATTAATAATATGTATTATAAGCATCGAAATTTACAAATTGCTGCAACACTTGCCTTAGCAAAATTAATGTGCGTGAGTTCAGAATTTTGTGAAGATAACTTACAATTACTTTTCACCATTCTTGAAAGGTCAAATGAGCCTACAATCCGTAGTAATATCATTATTGCTTTAGGTGACATGACAGTGTGTTTTAATAATATAATTGATGAAAATATCAATTATTTTTATAAGCGCCTTGCGGATCCAGATAATCTGGTCAAAAAAAATACATTAATGGTACTCACCCACTTAATTCTTAACGGAATGATTAAGGTTAAGGGGTATTTGGGGGAGATGGCTAAATGTTTGGAAGATAAAGATCGGAGAATCAGTGATCTTGCAAAATTATTTTTCACTGAGCTCGCATCAAAAGACAATGCAGTATATAACAATTTACCTGATATAATTAGTAATCTTTCTAATGGGGAGAATCCAGTCAATGAAGAATCATTCAAGAGAATTATGAAATTTTTGTTTGATTTTATTGAAAAGGTTAATTTTCATTTTTTTTACCTTTTTTTTTTTTTTTAAAAAAAAATTGTGCTATTAATTATACATGGTTTTTACGATTCTTCTTAATAGGATAAACAATCAGATAATTTGGTAGAAAAGTTGTTTCAAAGGTTTAAAAATCTTGATGATATAAGACAATGGCGAGACATTGCTTATTGTCTGTCTTTACTACCCTACAAAAGTGAAAGAAGTTTCAGGAAGTTGACTGAAGGAATCGCACAATATCAAGATAAATTACATGAATATGAATTGTACAAATATTTTACGGATATTGAAGCAAAGGTTTGTTTCGTTTTGTTGTTTTTTTTTTTTTCTTTAATATTATTTTTTTGCAATTGGCTTAATGGTTTGATTTTTTCTTTTAGGCAAAAGCCACATCGACAGAAAAAATTAAGTAAATCACAAGGCCTCTTTGAAGATACTTAAATAAATATCTAATGGTTTAACAAACAGCCTCTGAAATTTTTTTTTTTCGTGTTATACTTGTCTGCCATTTATATATATAATCTCTATTATGCGTCTATTATAGAAATCTTGTACCAACATATATGAATGAATTTATGTTTCATAAAACTCCATTAGATATAGTTTGGGGAATATTCTAATGTTACACGCATAATGGACCCAAAATTTAATTCTTTGACCCAGTCTTTTTTCATGTGATCATATGATGTTATTATCACCTTTAGTTATGTTATATTTTAAAAAAATTTCGTCCATTGTAATCGTTAAATAAATAATACATATTATATTGTACACGCTTCGTTTTAGAATACAAATCGATTTCCCTTCATAAATAATTTATTTACCTTCTTCCATCCCTCCCACCTCTCGGACTGTACCCTCTTGGCCCCCTTGGAATACCTAAACCTCTCGCACCTAATCCTCTTCCTCCTCGCATACCCCTCATATTCATGCCTCTTCCCCTAAAGCAAAAATCATCTCTCATCCTTCTTTCTCTCAAACCTACTTCACCATACGAAATCCTTTCTCTAATACCCCATTCTTCTCTAATTTCTCTCCTCCTAAATCTCCAGTCATCCCTCATACCTCCTCCTCTTCCTCTAAAACCAAAATCGTCTCTTAGACCTCTCCCTCTCGTACCATATTCTCTATAACCCCATGAACCTCTTGCACCTCTCATACCACCTCTAATCATTCTTTCGTTAGATTCGGCAGGTCTCGTATATCTTTGATATCTTACGGTTCTTTCTCTACCGTAACCACCATTGGGTCTAAAAGGTCTCATAGGTCTTAATGGTTCTTGAGAAGAATATATATCATAATTTTTTGGTTCCAACATTTCGGTAAAATTATTGAAAAAACTTTTTTTTTATATCTACTATCAGAAATGATAGATTTAATAAATATTTTTAAAAGAACGTATTTTTGACAGTTTAAGAAACTTCGATTTTATAGGTATTGTATTCTCGAGTTACACTAAAAATCAATGAATTCAGTGTAACCTTTTTTTGGTTAGTATATTCTTTCAAAATAAAAGTACCGTGAAATATTCCATAAATTTTTATTTGTTAACGAGTTCCGTTAAAGTCAACTTTTTAATGAATTATAATTTTTTTGGAGGGAGGAGATTTTTTAATGATGGTTATGTTAAAATATGAATATCTACAAGTTTTTTTTTTTGTTTTGTGGTTGATTTATTTTAGAGATGAAAACAATTTAGGTACTAGTCAGGAATCCTCTACCACGTAATAATTGTTTCTCACGAATCATCTCTAAAACATGTGACATACCTTTTCGACTCTATAACAAAGAAGATAGTATAAGGATTAATGAATGAAAGTATTATTTGTTCAAGGTTCTAGTTTAAATCATACCTTCGCAGTGCTATCAGCTAATTTCTTAATTCCAAACCCTTCAAGACGATCCGTCAATCCCCATCCCAAATTACTAATAATTCTGGCTTCAGTTTTAACTTGTGTAAATTCATGATTATTAGAATCGACTCGATAAGTTTGCCATTCTTCAACTTGCATTACTCGAGCGTGTGTTATATTTTTTGTGAGAGTAATCATTGTTTGAGTCTTAGGATTAACCATGGACTCTTCAATAATGTACGCTTCAGGGGTTTTCATGAGCTATATTTAAAAAGTAACGAATTAATAATGTTAAATCGAAAACTAAATTCCATACCCGATTAAAAATTTTAAAAAGAAACTTACTCCCTTTCCCCACTTTGGCAACACCCCACGTTTCAGTATTAATCTCGTTGTTCTTAATACACCTGTATTTGGATCAACATATCTATCGATCACATCAACACTTTCAACGTGTGAAGTAAAAGGATTAGGGTAACGTAACCAAAAAGCTAACGTTACGCTATCCCAATTATATCTATCATAATTCACAGATAAAAACGAAAAATTATTGTTTTTACGTTTTTAAAGGAAAAAAAGGAAAAAAAAAAAAAAAAATACTCACTCATATTTGAACGTATGTTGAAAAAATTTGACCATTTTTTATGTATATTTTAAAATCCTAACGTTTAAGGTAATTATAAATAATTTTTTTAAAAAAAAAAAAAAAAAAAATTCTAGAAAAAGCCCATATTAATTATATAAATAATGTAATAATTTCGTAATAATATATTAACAAAAGAAATGACGTTATTGAGTGTGAAAATATGAAAATATGATTTAATTTATATTAACAAAATCATTTAATTTTTTTTTAGAAAAAAAAAATAAAATAAAAACGAAAGATATTTTTTTCATCGATCAACGAATTTTTTTTTTTTTGTTGATAAGATAATGCTGTTCTATGGTGCAAGATATAGAGATAATTCGGATCATTACTATAAAATCTTGAATGGTTAATACATTTTTAATTAATAATTGCTTATCAGATTTAAATTATAGTAGGAAAGGAAAAATTAATTGATCAGGTGGATGAGTCAGTTAAACAAATAATTAAAGTAGTTTAGTTCTTGATGATTAATTATGATCTTTTTTTTTTTATATTATATAATTTTATAATAAAAATTTAAATATTACTTTTTTGAATTTATATAATCTTAAAATAAAAAGTTATTCAAAATATTAAAAAAAAAGTTTATTATATAATTATTAAATAATATTATTTTATTATAATAAATAAATAAGATAATTTATAGGTTCAATATAATAAATCTGCTATAATTAAGTATAAAATAATTATTAATTAACATTTAGCTTATTATTTATTATTTATTAATAATATATTTTAATATATTCATTAAAATCTTTTTAATTTAAGATTATAAAAAAGAAATTATTAAAAAAAAATCATTATTAATTATATATTTAGATATAAAAATTAAATTAATGAAATTCAAAAGATCTATTTTATAATTAGAATATGTAACACAGCAAATGATCTGCAAAAAAAATAGTGTAATATAAACAGATCAACAAAATTGATAGACAAATGATTAACTTAACTGTGATACAAGTATTAAACTTAAACAAATTAATCAATGAAAAAAAATGAAATCATTATTAATATAGCAAGTCTAAATTAAAAATACCAAAAGAAAAGGATATTTATAAAAGAAAAATGTAGTAATAATATAGTAATAATTAAATATTATAAAAGTAAATATTTTTATATAAAATTATTTACATTCTAACACAAATATTACAGATAAAAAAAAACAATTAGTATAAGAATTTTATTATAAATAACCAGAATTTTTAATCATACAAATGGTAATTAATAAAGATTTTAAATAACTTAATAAGAGAAACTTAATAGAATTTGAATATTTATAATGATAAGAAGTTAATTAGGTAGCTATGTATAGTAAAATGACTTATTTTTAACTTATTAGATTATTTAAAGGAGTCTTTTCTCTATTTTGAGAATAAAGATAAATATTATAATTAAAAAATATAAAAATATAGCATAATTGAGTTACAATTATAGCATAATTAAATTTACTTATAGGATAATTAAGTTACAATTCAATTGAAATTTGAAAGTAATTATAAAACCATTTTTATTTAAGAATTATTCTTATTTATATAAAAATTTTATAATAAATAAAATTTTTAAAATTATTCTTATTTATTAATAATAAAAAAATTTATAATAAATAAACACTTATGATATATTTTTATTTATTTTTTTATTTTTAACATGCGGTAGCTTTGCATAATCTTTATTAAAAGTAAAGTAATTTTTACAAAATTACAAATTACAAAAAAGAGAGTACAAAAAATTTCTATCTAGTTAAAACTAAATTAAAATTAACCTTACACTATTTTAGACTAATCTACCTAAATTAATTTAGAATAAGTTCAACCATCTAATATAGGAAGTTTAGTTGCTATCAATCTAAAAATTTAACTAATTTATATTATATTTATAAGAAAAGAGGAAATAATATGAAACTATAAAAATGTATTAGTTTGATGAGTGAAAGCTAATGTTGATAAAAGTGTGTTCTTCAGTCAATCAGTGATATGTTATTGGTACTTTCAAATTGTTTGATAGTTTTACATCATTCAAGCTAAAATTGTTTTATTTTAGAGAATATATAACAATAAGTAGAGAAAAGAAGACCATTTGTTAATGAGATATTATTGATAAGATGATAGGATTTATTAAATAAAAAAAAGGGTATAATTCCTTTAATCAAGTTAATAAAATTAAAAAAGCAACTTTGATTATTCAAAAACTAAATAACTATATTAAGTAACTTAACAAATCTTGAGTTGTAGAGTTTAATATAATTACCTGTTGTAAAAAAAATTTTTGGTGGAGGATATGATGTTTAATATTTAGTACTATTATAAGTTTAAATATGATTAAAAGTTTTATGAATGAAAAAGTATTTAGGTAATTTTATAATCAGTCGTAAAGACCTGGATGTTTTATTTTAAGAATCTCTAGTATAGAAAGTAGTTTAAACATAATTTACGGATAAATAAAGCTTTAAAGGATATGTAAAAATTATTATTATTATCATTGAGAATGAAGGAGATATATAGCCAATAAACATCTATTGAACTGTATTTTTGGAGGTATGAAAGTAACTGAATATTATGAAAATCAATTGAATAGAAGAAGTCTTTCATAAAGTATCTTGATATAATGAGTACAATATTATTATGAAAGTATAAATTGTATTTATATTCAAGTGTCATATTGTTTAAAGTAAGATTAAGACTATCTGCTTTTATAATGATTATTTATATGAGCTTAAATTTTATAAAACTCAATAGAAATAACTTTATCTCTAATTAATTTTATGATAAGAAACTAAATTGGATAATAGAAAATTTTGAAAATAGGATTAAAGATAAAAGAGAAATCAAAAAAATAATTTATTTTATCAAAGGATGAAATAACATTTGTGAGTCTATAAAAATATCAACAAAAGCACTCATAGAGACTATATAAAAAGCAGAAAGCACAGCTACTAT